TGATGGTTTATCTGTCTTTAGTTTTACAGAGAAGAGTCTCTGTCACACGATCAGCTTCTTCTGTCCACCATGTTTCCAGTGTGACCAGTGGATCAGACACTTCTTCACTATATACCATAATACTAGATTAATTTGGATGGAAAGTTAGAAATTATACAAAATACTCTGGATGAATCAATATGTAGAAATATATTAACATTTCAACTTTCTTGATCAAAATTTTGAGATGCTTTAAATTTTAGACTTGATGTATTTGTAATGTAAATTCAAAGGTTCGCCAGATTTTATTCTCTCCATGACTTTTATTGTGAAATATGTCTGCGCAAAGCCGTTAAACCGGATGTAATTCGAAGTTAGCTTTTCCCAAAAAGTAATTTGACACAAGTGTCATTTTTTATATTTCCAAACGCGTGTGTTTGATACATAGTTTAACTTTTATGGTAGTTTATATGAAAAAAAAAAACATACAAAACAAATACCGTACAGACGTTTTTAAAGAAAAAATACGATTAAACTACATTACCCATAATGCAACAACTGCCTCGTCGCCGGTTTTTTTTGTGTTACTCTCGCGGGCCTTGTTTTGATATGGCGGCAGTCTTCGAAACTTATGTCAGTTATGTTTCCATATCGCACGTTCCCTCTCCAGTTACACCACTTTTCACCGATGTTACAGGTAAATAACAAGTTTTTAACACTTTTATAAATGTCGCTGATGTATTTTACCTCGTCACTACAGTGTAACACCGGTTGAAAAAAACTTTATTTGTATCTCAAGTAGCCCGCTAACAACAAGGCAAATATCACCAGAGAAGCCTTTTAAATGCACTAAAACATTAAATTCAACGTATGTGAGACATCATCACACTATGACGTAATTGATAAATACGTGTCGTGTATGTTGTCACTCTGTTAATGATTTTAAAACAGCTGTGATTTCGTTCTACGTTGCTTAACCAAACAAAAACAAGTCAATTTAAAACCGACGCTGTTGCTGCTGTCTCGTGACATGCTAGTTAACTAGCTAATGCTATTCCAGCGTAAACCGGTTACCGGCTCACAAGAGGTGCAGCAAGAGGGGATTGCGTTATCCCACTCAGGAAAAGTGCTTTCAGTCACCTGTCTGTCTGTCGCCACCTGTCTATCTATCTGTCTGTCTGTTGTCACCTGTCTGTCTGTCTGTCTGTTTGTTGTCACCTGTCTGTCTGTTGTCGCCACCTGTCTGTCTGTCTGTTGTCACCTGTCTGTCTGTTGTCGCCACCTGTCTGTCTGTCTGTTGTCACCTGTCTGTCTGTTGTCACCTGTCTGTCTGTTGTCGCCACCTGTCTGTCTGTCTGTTATCACCTGTCTGTCTGTTGTCACCTGTCTGTCTGTTGTCGTCTGTCGACCCTCATCTACCTGCATGCATGTCTTTTATTGTTGTCTAGCTGTGTCTGACTTACATATTTAACATACTCTGCATGCTTTATGTTACATGGATGTTTTTAGTGTCTAACATTGCAGCATCATCCTGTCTTCAGTCCGTGTTTCTATTTAACATAGTTATCCCTTATTTAATTGTCTTTGTGTGTGTTGAATTTGTCTTGTTGGTACTTGACAACGTAGTACCAGAGTCTCCTGAATGATGATACTACTTATATTAATATTCTCACTTCTGTCATTGTTTCTGCACACTTTGTAAAGGGTCAATATTGCATAACTTGTATTCTGTTTTTAGGTTTACTTTGTAAACCTTTGTAACATCTGTCCTGATGAAAAATAGCCTCTTGGTGCATTTATTAAATTTTTTTATTTTATTGGTTTATTTGAACGGGACAGTGCACATTAATAAAAACATTTCTGCAAATGTGCCAGAGTTAGCCAAAAGGCTATTTTTCATCTGTAGTTCCAAGAGGCAGATGTTACACAATAAACCTAAAAACAATGTCAGATTAAATTTAAAAGGTTAAACAATATTGACGCATAACAATGCATGGACAAACAATGAAAAAAAAGGGAGAATAACTATGTTAAAACATGGACTAAAAACAGTATTATGCTGTAGTTATTTAGACACTAAAAAACATCCACGTCAGAGGCACAAAACATAAAAGAATACAGAGTATGTGAAATACATAAATCACTCACACAGCTAAACAACAATAAAAGACATGGATGCAGGTAGTTGACGGTCGACCGGCAATTTAAAGAAAGACAGAAAGGTCACAACAGACAGATCGAGGAAAGTTCAACACAGACAGAGAAACGGTTACAATCTAGTGCTGACAGAGCTGGGTACTAACTAACCATTTCTGTAAGTGAGATTTAAATGACCTGTATGTGTGTAGCTCTCTCATGGTCACTGGGATGGAGTTCCATTGTAGTGCAGCTTGTACAGAAAATGCAGACTGACTGAAAGCACTTCTCCTGATTTACAGCAATGTTTTTATTAATGTGCACTGTCCCTTATCAAATAAACCAATACAATAAATACTAACTTATATATAGTTTTCTGGGACCTGGCATCATCTTGAGCGTGTGTGTGGTACACGGTGTTTATTCACGGTGTGATTAACCTGTAACCTGTCACCATAATCTGTCTCGTTTAAATCCTCCAGGATTAGCGAGCCCTGCTGCTTGAGACACAGCACGGTCACCATGTCATCTCCAGCCGGACTCCGGTACTCCCAGCCGGACTTCTTGGCACGGTGGATGCGAATAAGTAGCACCAGATCCGGGGTGATCCTCAGTCCGGACCTGGCTGGCTCCATGCGGCACAACTCTACCGTAAGGACCCCTTCACTGGAGACCCCAGACGAGTCCTTCGCCTCCGACTTCGCTCCTCTGCCGGCCTCGGCGGACAGCAGCTGCTGCCTCGGCGTGGATGGATGCTCCCGGTCACCTGGAGGAGAGAAGGCTGGTGCTGACAGGCCAGTGAACGGTCCGTCCTCTGTGGCTACGAGGACTTTAGATGGAGAGCTGCACAGTTTGGATGAAATGGAGAGCGCTTCACAGGATGTGCCCATAATGGTGAAGCTAGAACAGGTAAGGACATTATCATTATCACAGGTAGTATTGTTTGTTTATTTAGGCTTTTTATATATTTAGTTTCATTATTTTTGTTGTTTAGTATACTTAGTTTTTTGGTCGTATATATATGAGTAGGCAGGTACAGGACCAGCATACACTGGGGTGGGCCTATGTTTTTTTTTTTTACCAGAGCAGGAGAGGCAGCCATTGGGTTTTCTCTCTTCTTTCATTTGCTTTTGTTTAGTTAAATAAATCATGAGAAACACAGAATCCTGTGTGAACGATAAACTATTTTGCTGCATAAACTACAAACCCATCATCAGTGGCTCTTTTGATTTATGTTTGGTTTTGATTTTTTTGGGACAAATGGCCACTACAGATATTTGTTCTGCCAAGGCTGGGACAAATATTAATTGCCTGTCACCGTAATAATGTCGTGAGTTTTGTTTAATTTGAGAATATCTGAAATTCCTGACCATGCCAGCTGAAATAGACAGCTTTTCCCACTACCATGCTTACCATGCTGATTGTCCATTCTTTAACAGATATTGTGATATATTCTGTTGATACTGGGAGAAGGTCTTAGTAACAGTGAACATACAGACGCTAATATAACTCTACATTTTGATGTATTAACAACTCATCTTATTAAACCAAATGTAAATAGTTCTGCAACAACATATTCACCACTGAATGTGTGAATTTCTGACACTTTGTGTGGGCTTCAGTGCTGATTACATCACTGCTTCCTGTTTACTTAATACCCCCGACTCAATCTCTCTCTCTCACACACACACACACACACACACACACACACACACTCTTTGCCTCTCCCTGCTATTATTAGTATTTTGCCTCTGAGGCTATTGATCAAAGACTCAAATAGTGACAGAAGTGTGTGCATGCAAGTCAGTATGTCAACAAACACATTAGCATGTTAGAAACCACTGAGGTGGGATTAGTGAGAGGTCACAGGTTCAGTACACGCTGTGACCAGCGAGTTAATGTAAAGCCAAGTGTTCAGTTGAAATGTGTTTAATCCACCTGAAACACCCTGTGGATAGGACTGTTAGCTACATGGCTAATTGAGAGATATTATTGTGTGTTGGTGCAGTTGAGGAAATGGCAGCAGCACATGCAGGAGCAGCTCAAAGCCCATCAGCTGGAGGAGCTGCTTCACCTCCAGGAGGAGCAGCAAAGGCTGCTGGGAATGATGAATGGATCCCAGCACTGCACACAAGGTTAGAGAGAGAAATGACCAGATTAACTGCAAATGTGACAATAATTAGTTTCTCTTTAAGATATAAAAGATGTAGGTTGGAGAGTGTGTTTCTATCCACTTAGTTGTTGCTTCTTTATGTGTTTATATTGTGCTGTCATTTATCTTCAGAGACTTCAGGGCTGTCGGGATCCAGAGAGACCCCGTACAGCCCCCCCATACACCGCCATGGAGTCCCACTGAGCTCCACCTGTGGCCTCCGACCGGAACGAGAGCCCTCACCTGCACGGAGTCAGGAGCGGCTACCACGAGGTCAAGATTGTGAGGAGGTGGACGATGAGGAAGAGGGTGAGGAAAACGTTTGTTTTTTTTTAAAACCTCACGGTGACAACAGCATTTGTGCAGTTTTTGTACTTGGAGTACAGCTGTCGAGGTGAAATTACAACAGCGTTTGTTTCCTCCAGGCACGTGGAGCTCCAGAGGAGAAGATCAGGAACAGAGTGTCGATGTTAGCCATCTTCACGAGCACAACGACACGTTAATACCGAGTAACGGTGTGTCTTTGACTGAAGACAGCAGCAGAGAAGAAGAGGAAGTCTTCCATGACAGGTTAGTACTATCCTCAGGAAGAGAAACGTGCCAGTTTGGCTCTGGATCGTGTATTTGTTGACAAGCTTGTGTGCGTCTCCTCCCTCAGACCTATAAAGCCGGGTATCGGGGGTCAGAAGAAGACCTTTGAGGAGTTGTTGGAGGAGCAGCTGAGGGTGGAGGAGCAGAGGATGAAGTCTGCCCGGCAACAGCAGGTCAGAGAATAAAACAAAGGTCTCCTTAGGATCAGGAATAAGTAAATGATCAGGCCGTAGATGATTAAAAATGTAATTATGAATCATACATTTGCTTTAGTCCAGACTGACTTATGCTATGCTGCGATGCTACATCTTATGCTATGTTCCATTGAAAACACACAATACCAAGTACCAAATTCACACTACAATCATTGTGTCTCCTCACGTTTAACAGAGCCGAGCTGGAGCTGAAGCTGTGCAGGTCGCCCCCAAGAGGGCCTTTCTGAAGCGGGGCGAGGGCCTCTCGAGATTCACCATCAATCGCAAAGCCTCGTTACCGAAAATGGGGGCGAAGAAGGACCCCAAACCAAAACTCCAGACCAGAGCGATCTCCCACAGCAACTCTGAGTCGGCGGTCATCCAGAGAGTCCAGCGGCTTCCCGTCCAGCGTAAAACCGCCACGCTCAACAAGGAAAACCGGCTCAGAGGTCTCGGCTCGCCGCCTCAGGACGTCAGAGCTGAGAGCAAAGCAGCACGGACGAAGGTTTTGGGGAGTCATCAGAGACAGAACACGGAAGGACCAGAGTCCATTCAAAGTGACCCAGAGGGAAGACATCAGCTGAGAAAGCTAAAGGAGCAGAACAACAGGAATGTGGGTCTGTCGGCTCAGGTCTCCAGGAGCACCGGGCCGAACCCTGTCACCAAACAGGTGGGCGTGTTGAGAGGGCCAGAGGAGAAGGCCGTGATTGACAGTTCTGGTTCAAGAGTGGAAGGAGGAACCGGCGTTCCACAGGAGTCGTTTGAGGTGTCGTTCCAGGAGAAGCTCCAGCAGTGGGACTGTGACCGGCAGCTGGAGACCATGGAGCTCGGAGAGTTTGAGCTGCTGGAGCAAGCGGCCGATGAGTTGTCCTTCTCCTCCAACTCCTCCTTCGTCATGAAGGTGATTTCTTTTTTTCTTCTCTGATTATTTGGGAGTTCAGTTACTCTTCCGCTCATTCCAAATATATCCTGAGGCTTCATGTGACCCTTTTTATCTGATCTGATGAAAAGCATTCAAATGCTCTTTTTAAAAGTGGTCATAATCAATATTTTGACGATGACTACTTCTATGTGAACAGGTTTTACTCCTTGATGTGCGTTCTGGTTTTCGTGGCCTCGCAGCTCTCATCAGCATAGTTTATAGTTTCTATTGTTTCCGTTAAGAAGCTCTCAAACACTCTGGTGTCAGTGTGGTTTGCAGCTCGTATCTGCTTCCCCCTGGTGGCCAAACATCGTCGTTATGTTGCACGTTGTTCCAGTCCTTATTTCCTTATTTCCTGTCGTCCCTCTACTGTTGGTTGTCCAATATCGGCATAAAATAGTTAATACAGCACCTAGCTCCTTGGTTGGATGACTGCTAACCCCGTTTAGCAACTAAAGTTAATGGTGCAACTATATTCTTTGTTGCAATACGAGGATTAAGCGACAGATTTTAACAGTTAACAGTGTAAATAAAGCTGCAAGAACAAATGTAGACACATTTAAGATATTCTGATGGTGTGGGTTTCTATCATCCTAATATATCTGACTTGTTGACGTGGTGTTAAAGGCTGCTCTGTGCTCTTGCAGGTTCTTCAGATGGACCAGCAGCACAGGGGGCTCCACCCGCGACGGCTCTCCTCCACCCCCATCAAGTCTCCACCCAGAGGTGCACGCCAGAGGTGCAGCAGCGACGGCAGTATCAGCTCCGTCAACTCCGAAGCGTTGGCGGTGAAGACGAGAGACGACGTAGTCCAGAACAAAGCGAGCATCGAGGATAAACAGGACGGGCACGAGGACTCCGCTGTTTCAACCTCTGAAGAGCAGGAAGTGGCGTTCAAACCGCCTTCGCTTCCCGGCACTTTTCGCTTTCCCGCTCAGTCCAACCCGCCGTACGACAAGCGGTCGTATCAGGACGAGGAGAGCGGCGGGGAGTCGGCGTCGGACGCGGCACGAGTCGACGATGTCGTGGAGAGTGACGCCGACGAGTCGACTCTGATCGAGGACGGAGACGAGCGGCGCGGTGGAGTCGTGTTCGACGACGACGACACCTGGAACGACCTGGAGGATGACGCCGCGGTCGGCTCGGCTGACGACGGTGGAGGAGATAGTCCGGCCGGTGGGATCTTACCGACTCTGTCGAGGAAGGTGGCGGTGAGCAAAGTGGTGGAGGTGGACGAGGAGGATCCTCATCTTCCTCCCACCTCTCAGCTCATGACCAGGTTGTTCCCCTCGCTGAAGCCAAAGGCCCAGAATGCACCTCTCCCTCCTCCTGCTTCTGTTGCTTCTGAGTCCAAAAAGTCAGAGGAGACGACAGGTGAGACAAACACCTGCATCAGTATTTTTATTCTCACTATTTAGAGTCAGACAGGAAGCACATTTTCATCTCTCTCTCTCTCTCTCTCTCTCTCTCTCTCTCTCTCTCTCTCTCTCTCTCTCTCTCTCTCTCTCTCTCTCTCTCTCTCTCTCTCTCCACGTCTCCAGGCCAGCAGGTCCAGTCCAGACAGCTGAGGGAGCGACTGGTGGAGCTGGAGATCGAGATCGAGAGATTTAAGAAGGAGAACGCTGCTCTCGCCAAACTCCGACAGGAGAACGAGAAAAACCAGGAACACCTCAGGTGATAAATCACCTTCATGTTGACCTTCTCAAACGGAGCGTTCTGCTGATATCTTTACGTCTACTTTGTTGCCTTTTTTTTGTAGGAAAGAGCGTTTGGAGTTTGAGCAGACGAGAGCGGAGGAGCTGGCCAAGTTCGAGGAGTACAAGAAGGAGGAGAACAGGAAGTTGCAGAAGGAGCGCAAACTGTTTGAGAGGCACGCGTCGGTCACCAGATCTTTCCCCGACAAGAAGGAACGGGAGGAGATCCAGGTGAGTCCACACGCCGACAATTACCGGCCTCAAGATGGTTCCGTTTAAAGTTTAAATAAATGATGCTGCGCCTGCTGAACATGAAACTGGTTGTTAACAAGTTAGCCACATCTCTTCTTTCTATGGCCAAAAATAAGAGTTGTTGCAGGTTAAGATGGAGATTGGAGAAATTAAATCAGTTCAAATTACAATTTCACACAAGCAGTAGTGCCGTTTGATGATAATTTCACTATTCACACCAAAATAAAGTTTGTTTTATATGATTTTCTACCAGTTTTCTTTTGCATAAAACATAAAAGCGAGTGCTGCTGTTTGTAGGTCTAGAAACTTTGGTCACATAGGAAGCAGCTAAGCAGCTCGTGAAGAGGACGTTATGTGTGGAAGTGTCCTTTTAATCCGTCCCTGTCCTCACCTGCCAGGTGTTGAAGCAGCAGCTGATCTCTCTGCAGGAGGAGCTGAGGCAGAAGGAGAGTCGCTGGTTCTCCTCACACAGCCGGCAGCGGCAGCAGATCGACTCCCTCAGCCAGGAGAACGCTTCTCTCCAGGATGAGGTATTAACACCTGGCATTAAAACTGCCACCTGTCTCTGGAAGATGAGAAACACACTTTGAGGCCAGGTGTAGATGTGGAACACCAGAACACATCTGGAGGTGGTCAGCGTGGTTTAAGGTCTTCTCTTCCTGCGAGCTTAAAGGGATAGCTGGGATGTTTTAAAGTGGGATTGTGGGTAATTATCCATATAGCTTTGCTATGTTTAGAATATTTTCAGCGCTTTATCGTGGCATTAGACGGGAAAGACGTTATCTATGCTCTCTTCAAATGCACCAGACTCCTTTGAGAAAAACGGAGATTTGACCTCTCAGATCACTTGAGTCTCTGGTCTACAGCTGCCTCCACCTGTTAGTGTGTGTTCTTCTTTATTAAAGTCTTTTAAATATATTTTCTCTTTTTAATTGAAGATCCGTATGTTGGAAAAGCTCCGCCTCAGCGCCTGGAAGAAAAACCCCGTCGACGCAGAGAAGGACAAAGAAACGAGAGACGGTCCCAAAATATGTGAGAACAACGTGTCGTCTGTGACCAAAGGAGTGAAATTCGCTGTAAGCATGTTTATCTTCTTTGTTACCGGGTGATATTCAATGTGGTGTTAATGTAAGTCTAGTCTACTGTGCTCAGAACTGAGTGGACTTAAATTGATTGTATTTTAAATAACATGTTCCTCATCTTAACATGGAAATCTCCGTGTTTTTGTGTTTTTTCCCCAGAGTCCTCTTGACTCCAGAGGAAGAAGCAGCAGCATCAGTCCTCCACAGAGCAGCACTGCTGCAGCCACCAGGAGGAGCTCCAGAGAGATCAGTCAGTTAGCTGCAGGTACGTTCAACAGGAACACACAAACACAACAATCATCAGCTGTTAGACACAAGAGTTCCGGCACACACGGGTTTTAGAGCTGCAGGTTTTTGCAGACCGTTAACCTCATAATGGAGTTTTGTTTTGAGGATGAAATGATGGAAATATTCTGTGTTACGGAGGTTTTTTTTGCCTTGGATTAAATCCAGTAAGTGTTGTTAATGTCGGGCTCTTTAATCCACCAGAAACATAAAGAGACTCACGTTTGGTTGACTTTAAAGCAGCTATGATCAATATTTTTATGTCAACAAGTGATCAGACGGCTACTCTCTCTGCCTCTGTGGACGACGTCCAGTGTCTCTTGGGTTCTGGTGTAGTGAGCAGACGTCCACATAACGGACCTGAGACGAGACTTCCTCTTTACATTCAGATTAGCAACTTGAAACGTAACAACGGAGTCGAGTGACGACGTCTACGACTGGATTGTGTCACAAGTCGCCGGTTTAGAGCCAGTTAACTGTTAATGTTTTAAGCTAATAAAAAGCTAAGTCGTCGTTGGGTTCTTAAGTTTACGTTCCGCCTGCTTTGTTCTCCACACTAACTGTTTACCTGCAGACAACCAAAGCCTGCTCTGATGTGATTGGTCGATGCTACTCAGACTACAAACCTTGAATATATCCGATAGTGCCGACATTTAGTTTGACTCCAACCAGCTGGTGAAAGCAGTGGAGAGAAGTAAAAGAAGTAAAACTTAGTGGACTTGAGCCCTGCATGCTGCTGTTATCCTACGTCCCTCATTTTATTCTCCACAATTAGTTTAATTAACCTTTAAAGTAGCTGAGATTTTTTAATTTGTTTTGTCTGTTTTGTGTTGATTGTCAGCTGGGATGAAGAGCAGCCTGAGGAGGCCATCAGCACCATGCTGCTTCTCCTCCTCCTCTTCTTCCTCGTTGCCCGTCAGGAGGACAGATGAGAAGTCAACACCCTCCAGCAAGATTCAGGACAAACCACCGAACCAGGAACTCTCTCACGACGACTCTCCGGTAAGAGACACGGAGTCAACAACCAACTCTATCGGAGGACAAACGGTTCAGAGACACTCCGTTAAATAACCTCCACCAATGAAACGTTCATCTTCTAATAAAGTTCGTTGGAGTCGACCTGAACCGTCACCGTCTGATCGTTTGTTCTTCTGGGTCCTCGTGTCGTTGTAGAAAAGCGTTTCTCTGCCAAACGAACAAAAGGAGGACAAAGAGCCAGAGTCAGATCCGGAGGTTCTACCACATCCTGATGGGAAGGTGAGAAACACGTGAATGGTCTTCTTTCATCAGCTGCGTTTTCTTCTCTAGAAATCTCATGAAAAGACCAGAAACAACAGCAGTTAGTCCGTCTCTCAATACTTCAGGACTTTCCTGACTGTTGCTCTTAAACCCCAAACCCAGCGTGTTCTTACTGAAGATATAAACGTTTAAATATGGCTCACACATGTATAGCTTCTATGAAAACAGCCCTTTCTGACGGGGAACTGAACTTCCACCAGACTCCATTCACAAAAACAGTGATTTAACCTCTCAGTACACAGGAGCTGCTGGTCTACTGCTGCCTGCATCTCCATAATTATAAAAAGTAGCAGTAAGTTCGTTGTTATTAGCCGCTGATGGAGATGTGATCTTTCCAGATGGAGACGGTTCTGGCCGGCGGCGATCGACTCATCGTCTTCAACAACGGAACCAAGAAGGAAGTTTCAGCAGACGGGCTGACGGTCAAAGTCACCTTCTTCAACGGAGACACCAAGGAGGTGACAGCCGACCAGAGAGTGGTGAGACGCTTCACTCACGTTTACGTTCAGACGA